GTTGCTACAAAAGTTTGTATAGTTCATGTGGACTTTATCAGCCAAAATGGCCAACTGTGGCCTTCATCTTCATTAGGTAGTAAACACAAATTGTCTTGCAAATAATGTTTTCACACTTTATTATCAATCACCAACATATTGAACAATTATATAAATGCAGCTATCATAGGTAAATGGCTGTTTAAGGTACAAGAATGTTTATTTACAGTGTCATTATGTGTGACACTTTCCAAGTGAGTAACCTACCAGCCATAATTGCCACCACCATCTCCCACCTCTACCCTAACCACAGTTTTCTTAGAGACTATTGTATGGTACATATTCAGGTAGTGACAGCTAGTTTGCACCATACAGTGTTGGTAGGTCTTCCTCATTAAAACAGTGGAGGGACACTCCATAGGGTAATGCACTCAACTAATCCTACCCAGCTCGCCTTAACTGTAATTGTGCACTACTGATAGAAATGAAAAACTAAATTTAAATCTCATAATACTGAAAACGTGAGCTACGTTTACCTGACTTATGGTTGTCTACTGTACTGCTGTATATACAGTATTAAGACTATATACTAAATGTTATATACTACTGTATATATTTGTCAAAATTGTGGCATCTTATATATTTTATATGCAGTATCAATACTAACGACACAGTACACTATATAGTCCTGTATACTATACATTATCAAGACTGTCGGGGTTTTATGCTATTGAATATACACACTCAAGACTGTATGATGTGGTATATACTACTGCATATGCACTATCAAAACCTTTGCATAGTATTTGCTGCTGTGTATACAACACGAAGAGTGTCATCATATGTATATGTATACAGAATGAAGATTGTTATGGTAATACTACTGTATATACAGTATCAAAACTGGGTATCTGCTACTTTATATACAGTATCAAGATTGTGGCTTGGTATACAGTCTCTCTTCAATGACAGAGTTCCATTCCTAAGACCACGTCAGTAAATGAATTCGTCGCTGAGTGAGGAGCATACTATAATGGTAGGTTTGTGTTGACCATCTTTGATATTGTTTTAATGTCACCTTTGCACCATTTATAACATTCCTTGTATACTTTTAAATGTTTATACAGCAGTGTATTGTATATTGTAATAAACAGAATTGAGGAGATCAGCTCTAATATACGTTATTTAGGTATGCATACTAGTCAGAGAGCTCGTAGTAAGTCTGAGCTGTTAGTAAATGAGCACGTCGCTAGGTGAGGAGAGGCTGTATTCTATTGTATGTGTAGTGTTCTTTTAAAGTATCAAGACTGTCATGTATATAATACTGTATATCCTTGACAAAAAATAGTTTCTCAAAAGAATAATTTTTACAAAGTTATAATTACTACTTTATTTCTTTCAGAAGTTGAGCAGATTATTCTCTTTGGTGACTGAGCAAATCTACTGGCTACTTTGGCATTTTAATTACACTAACATGTTCTCTGATTTTCTTAACTAGCTAATAATTGAACCTTTTATAGTTTTCCCCCTGGTTGTGTAAGTTACCATTATTTGAAGACTAAGTTACAAACATGCTTATAAAAATATCATTATTTCTGTAGTAAGGTTCCATGAACCACTAGAGGAATAACATCCTGTTGATTTAAACTATATAACACCAGTAATTGTATTCTTAAACCACTCTTACACTTGGTATAATAATTTTTTACCTCTGGTGTCAAGATTTCACACTGCTTAGGTTCCCAGCACCATTTAGCTATCTGTTTCATCTTTGCTAAGATCTCACTAGAAAACTTAAAATGTTACTGTCCAATTTACCTTTCTCTTCTTCGTTGAAAAACAGTACTTTATTAATAACCTTGCACATGTTATGTGATCTTATGTACCTTTATGTTCAATGCACTAACTGAAATTTCAAGAAATAGGGGTGGGTGCTGCCTCTTTCACAGTGTTTACTGTGTTGGAGTGGATAACACTATATATGCAAGTATAGTCCCTTGGCTGCCTTGTAGAAAATGGGCTAAATCTCCAGCTCTTCTGACACTGTCTATGGCTTGTATTGCTGTTGACACATACAATAGTGATTTCCAAGTTAAATAATGCTCAGTTTCTCTGCCAGGTACCCAGCCATAAATTGGTTCTGAGCCTTGCTTTTTTGCATCTTGGTTATACTATTCATGGGCTGCTTTGGGCCTTTACCAGTTCCCTGCTTGGATTAGATTGATATTCAAGTATGCATTTTCATCATTCATGTTAATGGATTGCAGTAGATACCCAACTAACAAACATCTGCATCACTTACGTCCACTGTTTTGAATTAGGTTCTTTTCAATCAATTAATTTTCTACAAAAGTCAATCTGCAGATATGAACATTTCAAACATTCAAACAACTCACTTTCTCCCTCAGAATTTTTCTGCTTTTTCCCACTATGCAAAACAAAAGAGAAGAAATTCTATGTTATAGTTGTACCATTACTTACATGGGTGTTAGGCATGGTCTTTAATGTTGCAGTGAGGATGAAGATGGGGGCTTTGGAGATGACATGTATGAGAGCAATGTGTGGTGTGAATATTAGGCAGAGAATTAGGAGTGCAAAGATTAGAAGGCAGTGTAAAGTTATGAAATGCAAAATTTAGATGGTGGAGGATGGGTGTGTTTAGGTAATTTGGTCTTTTAGAAAGGGTGGAGTAGATAGTATTACAAAGAGGGTGTGTAAATATGGGGTGAAAGGAAGGCAACAACTGTAGTGAGTCAGAGGCTAGACTGACACAGAGAGCTCAGGTATTAGCATGCTTGCCTTGACGGCAATACTAGCTGCACTGAAGTTTGTCAACATATCTCCCATACTTAACAAAGTATCAGGACTCGGGTAAGTGAGTAGGCAGGTAATAGTACAGTAAGTCTTCAACATTGTGAAGGCTCCATTCCCATCAGCTGCTGCTGTCCATTTATTCTTCTGGCTATGTGAATGTCCAGCCAAAAGCAAGGTGATATCACTGGGATGACATAACCCTTGGGTTGGGTTATAAATTATATTATTTAAAATAAAGTATTTTACAGGACTAAAAATGTGATAAAAATTACACACATCACTATATTGGGCTGGTGTATGTAACATTGCCATAGTAACAAGTGAGGCCAGAGAGAGAGAGAAATAAAGAAAGAGGTGGATTGAATATTTTTGGTCTGCATGAAGGCATTTGATACTGTACCTCACAAGAGACTGTAGGCAGGAGGAGGAGCAGGCAGGAAAAACAGGGAATGTACTACAGTGGTTCAAGAAGCACCTTAGATAAGAGATAAGATAAGATTTCGTTCGGATTTTTAACCCCGGAGGGTTAGCCACCCAGGATAACCCAAGAAAGTCAGTGCGTCATCGGGGACTGTCTAACTTATTTCCATTGGGGTCCTTAATCTTGTCCCCCGGGATGCGAGCCACACCAGTCGACTAACACCCAGGTACCTATTTGCTGCTAGGTGAACAGGACAACAGGTGTAAGGAAACGTGTCGAAATGTTTCCACCCGCCGGGAATCGAACCCGGGCCCTCCGTGTGTGAAGCGGGAGCTTTAGCCACCAGACCACCCGGCCACCAGGCAAGGAGATGGAGTGATTATCAAAGGTGAGATGTCACAAAGTGTAAGCATGATGATAGGGGTTTTGCAAGGATCAGTGTTTCTGGTATATGTGAATGACATACCAGAAAAGTAAGTCAGATGTACAGTAGACTGTCATTGAACACTGTAGTTACATTCCTGAAAATGCCGTGTTAGGTAAAACCAGGTTAAATGAACTGAAGAACTTATGGAAAAAATTAGGGTTACATTCCTGGGAGCTCCAGAAAAGCCAAGCAACTTTTTTTTTTAGGCCTCCACATCTTACAAAAATAAAAAAGTGCATATGTAATTGTAGTTCATTGCTGTGATGTATTATGTTGTTTTTACTGCATGAGATTACAAATGCAACAGAAATAATAGTATTTCTTACCTTAAATTGTGGGTGCTGGTATTTGTGGATGATTGTGGAGAGTTATGCTGGGCTGAGGTGGATGGTAGAGGTTCTGGTACTGAAGTCGATGGTTGTACTGGAGTGTGCATAAATTCTGTAATGGATTTCTGTTCTATTTTACCCTACAGTACATTATACAATTGATGGTAAGGCATCAGCTGTTCTAGACACTGTTTCAGGGTCCTCTTCAGTGAAAAAATCTAACTTTAAGTCAGCCAAGTCAATCAGTCAAGTCAGTCATTCAGTCAAGTCAGAAAGTCAGTCAGTCATTCAGTAAGTCAGTCAAGTTATTCAGTCAGTCAAGTCAGTCAGAAGTCAGTCGGTCAAGTCAGTAAGTCATTCAGTCGAGTCATTCAGTCAGTTAAGTCATTCACTTAGCCAGATCAGTCAGCCAGTCAAGTCAGTAAGTCAGTCAGCCAAGTCAGTAAATCAGTCAGTCAAGTCAGTAAGTCATTCAGTCAAGTCTAAGTCATTAAATAAATCAGTCAGTCATTCAGTAAGTCAGCCAGTCAGTCAATCACACAAACTCATGTTTACCTCATTTTATGTGCGCAAAGCAAGCATCATTACGGCCACAGGTTATTTCTTGTCTAATGTCTCAGTTTTCTTCGTTAATTCTAAGACTTAAATTCTTATACCTTTTCTTGCCACTTTTCAGCAACACTGGTATGCCTACTGGGTGTCATGATTGCTTGGCAGATACAAGATATGGTAATTAAAAGATCAAAACACAATTCACAAACAGAGCTACCTTGTAGCATAGAAGAGAAACTGCACATGTATGAAGTACGAATGCTGGGATGGTGGTGTCGAAGGTGGCAGGGGATGGTGGGAGGTCTTCCCTGCTGATGCGCAACAAAGTGGCCGCTTGAGGAAAAGGGAATTTTTTTCCCCTCTCGCAAACTGAACTATGTTAAATTAATTTTACGAAGTGTTATATAGAATTGTGCCACAATTCTTCGTGCCAAATAAACTCTTGTTAAATGATGGTCTACTGTGTCCCTATTTGCAGATGATGTGAACCTAATGAGAATGAAAATCAGCAAGGACAGGAAAGGCTACAAATGGGTCTGGACAAATGGCAAGCTTGGAAAGAAAACTGGAATCTATATAGTATATTCTAGGGACAAAGGCTGCATACCTCATTCATGGAGAAAGATCCAGGGGTGAGCACCATGCCAAGTACAGTGGAACCTCGTTTTTCAGCCGTAATCCGTTCCAGAAGGTCAACCTAAATTGGAAGCAATATTTCCCATAAGAATTAATGTAAATACAATTAATCCGTTCTAGACACCCAAAAATATTAACAAAAAATACATTTTTAAAGATTAATTATAGTTTTACATACACAAAACAATGAGAACTAAATAAAATAAATGAATGAACATTTAAATCACTATTACATACCTTTATTGAAGACTCTTGTTGGCTTATGGAAGACGAGAGGAGGAGAGAGGGAATACTGATTATTTTTTTGAAAGGGGAATCCCCCTCCATAAAGACTTAAGGTATCAAAACCTGTCTTTCATAGGCTTGTGTCCTAGTAGTGCCTTTTCCTCCTGCATGATGTAGGTCCTCTTTGGCATTTATTTTTTCTGAGAAAATCTCGTTTGTTTCAGCGTTTTTCTCACTGCACTAGTGATCTAGTGTAGTTAGCCGCTCCAGAACTCTGTTTTCTCTTAAACCTCAGTAGGGGAAGCATGGGAAGCTATGGTCAGAGGGATAATTACTTTACCTTGGGAGTGACAGGGACCACTCACCATATACTGTAATGACATATTTTTTTCATTCTAGAGTATATACTATGTTTCTATGTTGTTTATATTGTTTATGTTCATATTCGATCAATTGTGATGGATAAATAAGCTGGAGAGTTGATATTAGCGTAATATTGAATAATATTCTGTCTCCTGAATAATATTGAATAATAATATTGAATACTATTGAATAATATTCTTGTCTTTTCACAAATGATTGTCTCTGAAACACTATCTCCTGCTAACTATATTTCCCTGATCCACAACAACAACAACAACAACAACTCCACATCTTCATTTGTTTGTGATCTCTTTCAATCAATCAATCAATTTTTATTTCCTTGCAAGATTACATTGAGATTATGAAATTACAAAATTGAGTTGCAGTGCAAAGAGAGCCACTAGCCTATGCATTATGGGCAGACTTAATTTAATGGCTTACATACTACTTAATACTAAAGAAATTGAACATAGTACACAGTAATTTTACTCAAATTACAATACATAGTTTCAATAGTGAATATTGAAATTATATTATGGGAATATAACATTTTGAGTTGTTGAAAGTAGTTTGCAGTATGAGAATGCTACAATTGGGTGTGAGGCAGTAATGTTTTGGGTAGGTATTTATACTAATAAGGTAGTAGGTTGGTAGACAGCAACCACCCAGGGGGATACTACCATCCTGCCAAGTGAGTGTGAAACAAAAGCCTGTAATTGTTTTACATGATGGTAGGATTGCTGGTGTCTTTTGTCTGTCTCATAAATATGCAAGATTACAGGTATGTCTTGCTACTTCTACTTACACTTAGGTCACACTACACATACATGTTCATGTTTATTTATACACACTCATCTGAGTTTTCTTGGACTTTATCTTAATAGTTCTTGGTCTTATTACTTTTCCTTTTATATCTATGGGGAAGTGGAATAAGAATCTTTCCTCCGTAAGCCATGCGTGTTGTAAAAGTCAACTAAAATGCCGGGAACAAGGGGCTAGAAACCCCTTTTCCTTAATAATTACAAAAAAGGAATAAAAAGAAAAAAATTTTCCCAAAGGGGGAAGTCTGAATGTGTGGGGAAAGGTTGTGAAAAACAATAAAAAAAGAGTAAATTGGGGATTTTAAATTGAAAAAAGGTTGGATGTCCGGTTTAAAAAGTGAAACAAACTGAAGGGGGTGGGAGATTTTTCAGGGGAAAGAGGAAAAAAGGGGAAATTGGGTGGGGGGTTTTTAAAAATAGATTTTAGACTAAAGAAGGGAACAGAAAATTTTTTAAGGGATAATTTTATGGCATTAAAAGAGGGACTATAAATGTTTTAAATTCAAATTATTTTGGAGAAAAAAAGATTGGTTTGTGAAAAGTGGGTTCCCGTTAGCGAATATCCCACCGGGAGAAGAGAAAAAGGGTTAAGGGGGAAGGAAAAATTTTTGGGAAATTTTTGAGTAAAATCCTGGGGATTTTTTGAGCCAAGTGTGAGAGAAAAGGGGGTTTGGGGATTTCAATGCAAAAATTGGGCAAAAATGTTGTGGGGGGAGTAGAAAGGAAAAATTTGGGGTGCCGGGGGTAAATAAAAGGGGACCCTTTTAAATTTTTGACTATGTGTAGAAAGAGGTTTGGTAATAATTTAATAAAATATTTTATGAAGAAAAAGGACAAAAAAATTTATAAAAGGTATGATGTACATGTAAGGGAAAGTAGTTTTTTAGATTATGTATTGGTGGATAAAAGGTTGATGGGTAGGCTAGGATTCCCTTTTTATAAGGGGCAACTAAATATATCGGATAATTTTTTTAGTTGTAGCTACAGTTAGGGGTAAGGGGTAGAGGGGAAAATTGGGGAAAAATGGCAAAAAACAAGCAAGGGGGAGGTGAAAGGGGTATAAACTAAGGGGGGAGGAATTCGGGTGAATATAAGCAACTTTTTGGCAAAAAGGTGGACTGGTGCAAGTATGAGTATGGGGGGGTTGAAGGGGGTTGGGAAAATATTTTTAAAAAAAAATGCAGAAATTAAAAATTTGGGGGGCAGAAGTTTGTGGTTTTTGGGAAGGGTGGGGCAGGAGGAAAGAGGAAAAATTGGGGGAATAAAGGAAAGAAAAGAGTGTGATAAAAGAAAAAAGTTACTTATGAGAGGTTTTTTTCAAAGCAAATTTTTATAAAAAAGAATAAAGTATAGGAGAGTAAAAAAAAAGGTGAAGAAGAGGGAGAGATGCAAAAGGGGCAGATGAAAGAGTGGGGAGGCAAAAATCAAAAAATTTTAATGAAAATAAGAAAAAATTTTTGGGTTGGGGTTTTAAAAAAGGCTAGAGAACGAAAGGATTTTTTCAGTTAAAAACAGAGTAAGGGGGTTTTGGGAGATGGGGAATGGGGGGTTTTTGGGGAGTGGGGAGAATATTTTGAGGAACTTTTAAATGTCGACGAAGAAAAAGGGGAAACGGGTAATTTCATGCAAATGGCCAGGGAGGTATACCATCTTTTAGGAGTGAAAAAAGATAAGATGTGAGTGGGGGAGGGGCGTGAGGCATTTCGTAAAAAAAAAAAGGGGGGGAAAGCAGCGGGAAATGACGGGGTCATGACCGAAAAGTTAAAAAAAAAAGGGGGGGTAAAATGTTGGGGTGGTTGGTATTTTTGGTTTAAAAAAATTTTGAAAGAGGGGAAGGGAAACCCAGGGATTTGGGAGAGAGGTTTTATAGTCTCTCTTTAAAAAGGGGAAAAAGGGGCAAAGAGATTGTAAAAAATTTTAGAGGAGTAAGTTTTAAATGAGTAAACCAGGAAAAAATGTATGGTAGGGGTTTTTAATTTTAAAGGGAAATTTGAGGTAAACCCGCATGTAGGATTGCAGATTTAGGGAAGGGGGGTTTAGGTGGGGAGGGGGGTTGTAGATTTAAGTTTTTTTCATTGAACATATATGTGAACATAATTTTAGAATTTAAAGTAGGGGAAAATTTTTTTTGCCCTTTTTGGACTTTTGGGAAAGGCAATGATAGATTTGGGTAGGGGGCAATGTGGGAGGAAAGTTGTAATAAGGGGAAAAGGGGGGTAATTTCTAAATGCGTAAAGTGTTTTTTTTTGAGGATAGGAGGCTCAGGGTTTGGGTGTGGGAGAAAAGGGGAGACTATTCCCGGGAAAATAGGGCTAGACCGGGATGAGTAAGGTCACCATGCTTATTTAATTACAGTGGACCCTCGAATTTAGTCGTGCCTTTTCTGTATGCAAAACTATTTTTATTATCTATAAAATGTAGTTTTTGTTAATATTTTTTGGTGTCTGGAATGGTTTAATTGGATTTACAATATTTCCTATGGGAAATTAACAAAAAATACATTTTATAGATAATAAAAATAGTTTTGCATACAGAAAAGGCACGACTAAATTCGAGGGTCCACTTTATAGATGGGTTGTAAAAGAAGTAAATGGTAGGGTGTTCAGGAGAGGGGTGGGATTAAATTATAGGGAATTAAATACAAAATGGGAATTGACACAGTTGGTTTTTGCTGATGATACTGTGCTTATGGGAGATTCTAAAGAAAAATTGCAAAGGTTAGTGGATGAGTTTGGGAGTGTCTGTAAAAGTAGGAAGTTGAAAGTGAACATAGAAAATAGTAAGGTGATGAGGGTATCAAATGATTTAGATAAAGAAAAATTGGATATCAAATTGGGGAGGAGGAGTATGGAAGAAGTGAATGTTTTCAGATACTTGGGAGTTGACGTGTCGGCGGATGGATTTATGAAGGATGAGGTTAATCATAGAATTGATGAGGAAAAAAGGCGAGTGGTGTGTTGATATATATGTGGAGACAAAAAATGTTATCTATGGGGGCAAAGAAGGGAATGTATGAAAGTATAGTAGTACCAACACTTATATGGGTGTGAAGCTTGGGTTGTGAATGCAGCAGCGAGGAGGCGGTTGGAGGCAGTGGAGATGTCCTGTCTAAGGGCAATGTGTGGTGTAAATATTATGCAGAAAATTTGGAGTGTGGAAATTAGGAGAGGGTGTGGAGTTAAAAGTATTAGTCAGAGGGCTGAAGAGGGGTTGCTGAGGTGGTTTGGCCATTTAGAGACAATGGATCAAAGTAGAATGACAAGGAGAGTGTATAAATCTGTAGTGGAAGTAAGGCGGGGTAGGGGTCATCCTCGAAAGGGTTGGAGGGAGGGGGTCAAGGAGGTGGGCGAGGGACTTGGACTTCCAGCAAGAGTGTTAGGAGTGAATGGAGAAGAATAGTATTTGGGACCTGACGAGCTGTTGGAGTGTGAGCAGGGTAATATTTAGTGAAGGGATTCAGGGAAACCAGTTATTTTATATAGCCAGACTTAAGTCCTGGAAATGGGAAGTACAATGCCTGCACTTTAAAGGAGGGGTTTGGGATATTGGCAGTTTGGAGGGATATGTTGTGTATCTTTGTACGTATATACTTCTAAACTGTTGTATTCTGGGCACCTCTGCAAAAACAGTGATTATGTGTGAGTGAGGTGAAAGTGTTGAATGATGATGAAAGTATTTTCTTTTTGGGGATTTTCTTTGTTTTTGCGTCACCCTGCCTTGGTGGGAGACGGCCAACTTGTTAAAATATACATGTATATACATATATATATATACATATATATATATACATATATATATATATAGACAGGGATGTGTAATGTCACCATGGTTGTTTAATATATTTATAGATGGGGTTGTAAAGGAAGTAAATGCTAGGGTGTTCGGGAGAGG